GGTCAGTTAATCCTAGCAGGTTGAGGCTCAAGGAAAAAAAAAAAAAAGCTAAGAGTGGTTGTTACATTTTAAATAGTTTTTTAAAATCAAAAGATGAATACTATTTTGTGGCATGTGAAAAGTCTATGAAATTCAAATTTCAGTATCCATAAATAAAGTCTTGGGAACACAGCCATGCTCATTCATTAACATATTGTCTATGGCTGCTTTTGAACTACAACAGCAGAATTTGCAGAATTGAGAAGATGTGATTCAATTTTCCAGGCCAAAAACTTTAATTTTTATGTAATCAAATTTATCAAAATTTCCATGATCTTGAGTCATGGTTAAAAAGGATTTTCTTAAAAAAAAAAAAAGATTTTCTCTGGTATAAAGGAATTTAACCCCTGGTTTCTTCTAGTTTTGTATGGCTTCATTTTTTACATATATATATATACTTAGTGGGATATATTCTGAGGACAAAAAAGCTGCAAAAAAGTCTAAAGCCTCATTTAGTCTTTATTATTAGTTGGCTTATTGATATTATTCTGAAGCTATTTTATGTAAATTGTAGGATTAAACAAATCAGTAATTATGCCAATGTTGTTATAGGAACCAAGATTTTCAGTGTAAGAACAAAAAGAATACAAATATAAAATTAAAGAAATTGGGTAAAAATCCCCAAACATATTTGATATGAAATTGCCAATATAATTTTTAAAATTATATGTATTTTTTTTTCTCAGCATAGTGAATTTTAATGTCTTCCCTTTTGGAAAAGGAGAGACATCCCAAAGGTTGTCTGGCAGTTTGGTGCAGAAAAGGATTTGGTCCAATCTTGTGCTGGCTGGGATACAGAAAGGCACCTAAAGTTGGTGACTCAAACTTCTCTGGACTAGGGTGGGGCAGGAAGTGGACAGGAAAGTGGTTTGTAAGGGACATGTGGCAGTGTGGGCCTGAGGCCTTTTGAAGCGATAGATGGTCCTGGAGGGACGCTGGGACAGCCAAGAGCTGCCTGAGTTGCTGTAGTGACCTTTGTCTCTTCAGTTCACCAGCTCACTGCGCTGGAGTCACAACTGGATCTCTCTCAGGATCCCCTCCCCCAAGTTGCTGGCATAGATGATGTTTCTGCTGATTTAGAAGCTGATGCTTCCCCATGTGGTCGCGGGATTACCCTCAACTGAGTCGGGTATCCTAGCTTGGTCCTCGAGGCGCAGACTACATTGTACCCTTCCCAGACCATGGCCACTACCGGCCAGGAGCTCAGGTAGCTGATGACGGCTGGGTAGAAGGGCCTTCTCCGCAGGTTCTGACAGTGTTCAGTGAGGGCTCTCTCCGGCACCTGCAGAATCTTGGTCCACATCAACTTGTATCTCTGAATGCACAGATCACATCCTCAACGAGCTGCCGCTACCCCCATCTAGTTTAAAGCCACCAGGGGTGGCTCCAGGGTCTAGAAGTGTCCTCCTTAGCTGCGGCTCACAAGCAGGTGTAGGCGGGAGCCCACAGGCCATGCAGCAGCCCCCCTAGCACTGCAAGTCACAAAAGGCCACCCATGACACCCGGCCCGGGGGTCACCAGTTCTAAAAATCATATTGCTTAGTCCTGAATGGCCTAGAAACAATGACTATACAATATTTATGGAGTACTCCTAGCTCTCAGCTGGATGAACCTCACTAACAGGAGCTAGGAATCCTTTTTTTAAAAATACATGGGGAAAAAAAGAATATTAAAAAAATTAAATTAAATTTTAAAAAATGCATGGAGCAGGCTGGGTGGTGGCTCAGCCCTATAATCCCAGCACTTTGGGAGGCCAAAGTGGGAGGATTGCTTGAGGCCAAGTGTTTGAGACCAGACTGGGCAACATAGCAAGACACTATCTCTACAAAAAAATTTAAAAAGAAAAAGAACCTTTCCCAAAAGGGGAAAAATCTTTTCATTTGCTGCCACTGGAGGTGACTATTGATAGGTAGACAGATATAGATATAATATATACAATATTCTGAAAACCTATAATTAAAAGGAAAGAAATACTAATCCTGTCTTACTAGTAGGAAGCATATTTCATTTTACATAGAAACCAAGTGGGATTTATTTCAGGAATTCTAAGATAGTTCAATTAGGAATTCTATTAATAAAAAAAAACTTATCATTAAGAGATCTAAGGTGAAAATCAAATTATTATTTCTGTAAGTGTTAAAAAGACATTTGACAAAACTATCAGTGTTGATTTTTAAAAATCACTTTGTAAGATAGAAATTAGGCCCATTTTTCCTGTTGTAATAACATGTTTTTCAGATCCAAACATAGTAGAACTAATATATAATTTTATTTTTTATTTATTTATTTTTTGAGTTGGAGTCTCACTCTTGTCGCCCAGGCTGGAGGAGTGCAGTGGCATGCTCACTGCCACCACAGTCTTGACCTGCTGGGCTTAGTTGATCCTTCCACCTCAGCCTTCCAAGTAGCTGGAACTACAGACAACACACCACCATGCCCAGCTAGTTTTTGTGATTTATTGTAGACAGGAGGTCTCATCAGGTTGCCCAGGCTGGTCTTGAACCCACAGGCTCAGGCAATCCTCTCGCCTCGGCCTCCCATTGCTGGGATTACAGGCTGAGCCACCACGCCTGGTCAGAACTAATATATAATTTTAAAAACTGCTCATAGTGAAGCAGTGAAACAAGAAGCACTTCTACTAAAGTTGTAAAAAAAAACCCAAAATGCCCATATCACCACTATTATTTAATATTGTATTGGAGGTAGTAGCCAATGCAATTAGGTAAAAGAAAGATGTTAGAAGTATAAAAATTGAAAAGGAAGAAGAAAAACTACTATTATTTGAAGACAATGGTTGCCTCCGTAAAAAACTCAAGAAATCAACTAACATTGTACTGTAAGAGAACTCAGTAAGGTAGCAGGGTACAAAAATATACAGAAATTAGTAGCTTTCATGTTTTTGAACTACATTCATATAGAAAATGTGATAAAAGAAAAATCACACTTAAAATAGCAACAAAAATGATTTTAAAAAACTAGTAATAAATCTAACAAAAGAGATGCAAAACCTGTATGAAAAAATGTTCAGACAACACTGATGAATACAAAATAAGATGAGCAAACGGAAAATACCCGTTCTCAGATAGAAACACTTCATTATCAGAGATGGTGGTTTTCTAAGTTAATAAATGTAATCAGATTTCAATAAAAATTTCTCTAAAAGCTTGTTTTTATTTTCTCCCTCCACTTCTTTTTTAAGTAGACAAGTTATTCCTAAAGTTAACTTTAGAAAAGTACACACAAGAATGGCCAGGATTAACAAACTATATGTAAAAAGAAAAAAAAAAAAAAAGAATAGCCAGGAGATATTAGAAATAAAGAAGAGCAAACAGTGGAAACTAGCACTGCCAGATTTATTGAAATATATTAAAAGTCTCAATTTTTTTTTTTTTTTTGAGTTGGAGTCTCACTCTGTCATCCAGACTGGAGTGCAGTGGCCGCTACCAGCCACCGCAGCCTCGACCTGGCCTTCCGCCTCAGTCTTCCAAGTAGCTGGAACTACAGGCGCGCGCTACCACGCCCAGCTGATTTTTTGATTTTTATTGTAGAGATGAGGTCTCGCCAAGTTGCCCAGGCGGGTCTCAAACCTGCGGGCTCAGGCAATCCACTCACCTCGGCTTCCTAAAGCGTGGGATTACAGGCTGAGCCACCGAGCCCTGCCTAAAAGTCTCAATTATTAAAGCAGTGCAGTACTAGTGGATGAAAAGGAGACAGACCAAAGCAATAAAGTAAAAAAATCCAGAAATACACTCCACAGTATACAGAAATTTTATAAAAACATTCATCTTAAACCAGTGATGCAAAAAGACTACTCAATAATTCTTATTGAAACCACTAAGCAGCCATTTAAAAAAGGACAAAGTTAGTCTGGGCATGGTGGTTCACACTTGTAATCCTAGCACTTTGGGCTGCCAAGGCTGAAGGACCACTTGAGCCCAGGAGTTTGAGATCAGACTGGGCAACATAGTGAAACCTCATTTCTACAAAAAATCAGCACAATTAGTTAGATGTGATGGCACATGCCTATAGTCCCAGCTATTTGAGAGGCTGAGGTGGAAGGATCATCTGAGCCCAGGATGTGGAGGCTTTGGTGAACTGTAACTGCATTCCAGCCTGGGCAACAGAGTGAGTCTCTGACTCAAAAAAGAAAAGAAAAGAAAAGGAAAATTAAGAGCAGTAGTTATCTATGGTGGAAATGGAGTACTGGGTAGATGGAGGATAAGAAGGGAGGGAAACTCTTCACTGTATAACATTTTATACATTTTTACTTTTGAATCAGGTGAATATATTACCTGCGTGGAGAGTAAAATTTTTCAAAAGTTCCAACTCTCATGTATTTTACTTTCCAGTGCAGAGAGATGAATAAAAATGTAAATTAATATACACTTGGAGTTCTAGTGAAATAATTAAATCTATGAATATAAGGAATTTATTTAATATACTTTCCGGGTGCAGTGACCCACACCTGTAATTCCAGCATTTTGGGGGGCGGAGGTGAGAGGATTGCCTGAGTCCAGGGGTTCGAGACCAGCCTGGGCAACTTGGCGAGACCTCATCTCTACGGTAAATCAAAAAATTAGCCAGGTGTGGTGGTGCTCCTGTGGTTCCAGCTGCTTGGAAGGCTGAGATGGAAGGATCACATGAGCCCAGCAGATAGAGGCTGAGGTGGCTATGAGCATGCCTTGCACTCCAGCCCAGGGTACAGAGTGAGACTCCCACTCAAAAAAAAATATATTTATATTATATAAAATGATATATATATAGGTGTATACATATAGGTATATATCATTAGTCCTCACAGTGCTTCAAAAAATGAAGCACATCGTAGTAGCTCAATAAATACCTTTTGAATAACTATAAACTCAATAATTTATTGTCTTTTCTGTGTGATTATGATATTATTATGCTAGTTTGTCAGTGTAAGGAGACAGATCATCAATTGAAAATACGACAAATTGTACCTGTTGTAGATAGTGTCAGGAACATATATCTTCAGGTCTTCTGTGACATCTCTCATCACCCTCTGGTAACCAGACATTCCTGTGTCTTTGATATAATAAGGATTATTTCTCATTAAATATTCCCCCAAATGATTAACTGGATCAAACTTAGTTGGAATATCAACATCTGTCAAAAGCTTCTTCTTTTCCACTTGCATTAACACTTTTTCTACTCCAGGAACTAAAGTGGGTAGAAGTTTGTCAAGCAAATAGGCACGAGTATTCAGTGTCATGCTTTCAGTACTAAACCACTCTTCGGCCAAATTATCCTTAGGGAGTTTTTTTTCAGCCTTTTTTTCTAGTTCCTTCTTCAGATTCTCTTTATTTATTATTTTCTGCTGCATAGCTTGGGCTCTTGCCTCCACTCTTTCAAACAGATTTTTCTTCCATGGTTGTTCTAGTTTTGATGTCAGTTCAGCTTCATCTAAAGCAAGAATCACTTTTGCTGGTTTTCTAACTGACATATTTGCTGGAACTTTAATGTTAGAGTCCTTTTCGGAATCAGTTGAGATTTTTGGCTGCCGCTCCAGGTCTAATTCTGAAAGGGGAAAAAAGGGAAATGTAAGAAATATTAGAAATAAATTTTAATCTACATTACTTTAGAATAATGTTTGGGGAAAATGTGTATATCTAGTTACACAGTGTGTTGGAACAATGTCAGCTGAAAGTAACAAAAAATTAGATAACAGTGACTACCCATAAAGATATTTATTGTTGACTTAATCAGAAGTCATTCGGCAGCCTTAGTCATTTTATTAAGTACCTAGTCTGTCTCTATTGCTCTTCATTTTTTTGTGCTTGTTTTTTTGTTTTTGTTTTTTATTCTTTGTTTTTTTTTTTTGAGTTGGAGTCTCACTCTGTCGCCCAGACTGGAGTGCAGTGGCCGCTCCCGGCCACCGCAGCCTCGACCTGCTGGGCTCTGGCGATCCTTCTGCCTCAGCCTTCCAATAGCTGGAACAACAGGTGCGCGCTACCACAACCGGCTAATTTTTGCTTTATTGTAGAGATGAGGTCTCGCCAAGTTGCCCAGGCGGGTCTCGAACCCGCGGGCTCAGGCAATCCACTCACCTCAACCTCCCAAAGGCGTGGGATTACAGGCTGAGCCACCGAGACCGGCTGCATTTTTTTTGTGCTTGTACCTCAAGATCATATGATGACTATTACAGATCCAGACATCACTTCCTCGCAGAAAAAAAAAAGAGGGGATTGAGGAAAAAGGGGCTTTCTTCTCTTCAGACACTGTCTTATTATCTAAGAGGAGCTGCTCCCAGACTTTGCTCTAAGACTTCCTTTTACATTTCATTTGCCCTAACTAGGAAACATACTCACCCCAGACCAATCTCTGGTAAAGGAAAATGGAATTATATGAACAGTTTTGACCAATCATAATTTCTTTCTTTTTTTAAATTATAATTTATTTTTTGATGTCAGGTTTTAACCAAGTTTCTTTGATATCCAGTGATTTTCATCTGCTAAAAATTGATATTCAGTTGGCCGACAAAAATGTGGGGAAATGTGTGCTGAGTGGGCAGTGAAGCGTCTACCACACATGTATATTTAAATACATTTCTGCTCATTCTTATATTTTCAGCTTCTTTCGTGCTTTCATCTTTAAAAATACAGAATGCATCTATTAGGCCAAGATGATGGACTGAGAGCAGGCACTTACATCCCCTTCCTACTCCTTACTACTACATTTTCTAGAAATGACAGGAAAGGTTGTATGTACATTTTTAAAAATATATGCACGAGAATGCTACAATCATGAAGGGGGCCTTCAGAAATCAGGAATTTTGAGGATCTCTGAAAAATATAAGGCGGGTAGGATTCAAATGACTAAAGAAACTTTGGGACTACAAAGGAAGTGGAGACAACTGTAAAATGTCATAGCAGCTTTCAGGCAGCCCAGGTTTAAAGAATGTAGATATGAAAAGTAGGAGAAAGATTCACCTTTTTGTGTATCTTCATTCCCATTTGAGTTAATCATCAGGCACCAGAGGCATTCACCCTTGCACTGGGATAAGCGTTATAGATGTCTAGGCTAGCAAGGTAAGATATATACACACACAGAAAATGAATTATTGGCAGACTTTACTGTTTGCATATCTTGTCCTTCCTACACAATCACTGGCAGAAAACTACAGGAAACAAAAACTTCATCTACAGGAAAGCAAACAGGGAATCTCAAATAGAATCGTAAGCACACATATATAAGACTCACAGAATATTTAAGGAATATTCCATATCTCCATGACTAAATTTAACAAACATAATAACTAGTACCACCCAAGGAAATGCCATTAAATAGGACAAATTTAAGGCAACTCTAAAAGAATTGTAATTAATATCCTCAGAGCAGAGACATTGGAAGAAATAAAAAGAATATTATGAATGCTATTTTAAAAAAACAAGAGAACTTGGACTCCTAGTGCTTACATCTTGGTTTCTATTATCATCCTCCAATTTAAAAACCAGGATTCCTTGGAGATATGGCTGATTCTAAGACTGGGCAAGAAATAAACAAGATGAGCCTGAAGCAACTTGTAGTGCCAGAAAGCAAGGAAGTACTGAAGAAAAAAAAAACTACAGTAGATATGTAAATGGGGGAGAATAAACACATCACCTGTGCAGAAGTATTCTAATAATTTATGTAGATACCCTGCACTCAAGGATGTAGATAATTTATGTAGATACTCTACACTCCTTAAATTGGGCTGCACATAGTGACAGCAACTTTCCCCAAAGAGTACAGTATGGAAATGGCAGGGGGAGAATAACTTGACAGTAGAGAAACCTGACAAATACTATCTCAGCCTGATAATCAATATTAACATCAGCAGTTATAAGTCATGTTGATAGCATGTAACCTTGACATGGTGTAAGAATAGCACTTTACCTCTATAGCCTTCCTCCAAAAAAATCATGACCCTAGTCTAATTCTGATTTTTTTTAAAAAATGAGACAAACCCCAACTAAGGGCAGTCTACAAAAATACCCGATAGTATCCCTTAATACTGTCAAGGTCATCAAAAACAAGGATATCTGAGAAACTGTCAGAGCAAAGAAAAGTCTAGGGCATTTCTTTTTTTTTTTTTTGAGTTGGAGTCCTACTCTGTCACCTGGGCTGGAGGGCAGTGGCATGCTCCTGGCAACCACAGCCTCGACTTGCTGGACTCAGGTGACCCTTCCACGTCAGCCTTCCAAGTAGCTGGAACTACAGGCACGTGCCACCATGCTCGGCTAATTTTTTTAAATTTATTGTAGAGATGACATCTCTCCAAGCTGCCCAGGCTGGTCTCAAACCCATGGGTTCAGGCAATCCTCTCACCTCAGCCTCCCAAAGTGCTGGAATTACAGGCGTGAATAACCGCACCCGGCTCAAAGAAAAGTCTAAACAAACATGACAATTAAATATAATATGGTATCCTAGATAGGATCCTGGAGTAAAAGGATGTTAGGTAGAAACTAAGGATATCTCCCATTTAAGTACTAACCAAGCCTCACTCTGCTTAGCTTCCACGATCAGACGAGATCAGGAACATTCAGGGTGATATGGCCATAGTCAGAAATTAAGGAAATCTGAATAAAGCATGGACTTTCGCTGTTAAAAATTATTAATATTGACTCACTAATTGTGAAAAATGTGACATACTAATGTAAGATATTAATAATAGGTAAAATTTGTGGGGCAGACAGGAACTCTTTGTATTATCTTCACAGTTTTTAAAATAAATCTGAAGGTAATCTAAAATTAAAAGTTTATTTAAAACAAAAAGAAACCAATAAAGAGAGAGAGAGAACACTTGGAGATGAATAGCAATACAATCATCAGTGCGTTGGCTTGAATATCAAAAATACTAAACAACCAATCAGCAAACTGGAGATCAAGCCATTGTGGATCAAAAGAACAAAGGAAATAATAAGATAATGGAGAATAGATCCAGAACTTTTAAAATTCATCCTATAAAAAAGTGTCAGAAGGAGTAAACTAAGAGTGTGGACATAAGGATATATTCAATGAAAATCTCTCAGAACCAAAGAAACATTTCAGCTTTAAAAGGCTTACCAAATGGTGTTTCCATGCAATGATGAAAATTTTCTGGAACTAGACAGTCGTTATGGTTGCACAACACTGTGAATTTTCTTAATAGCATTGAATTGTACACTTTAATATGTATAAAGGGTAAGTTTTATGTTATATGTAATTACCACACATTTTTAAATATATAAGATTAAAATACAAAAATAAATGGATTTCCTAGGAACTAGCAATTAGTAACAAATTTAAAATATTTTAGACTTTTAGTAATCAAGTAAAATATAATTGTATAGAGTTTCTTTTAATAATAGCAATAAAACTTTAAAATACCTAGAAACAATTAAAAATGTATCAAACCAGCTGGTCTCGGTGGCTCAGCCTGTAATCCCACGCTTTGGGAGGCTGAAGTGAGTGGATTGCCTGAGCCCAAGGGTTCGAGACCCACCTGGGCAACTTGGTGAGACCTCATCTCTACAATAAATCAAAAAATTTGCCGGGCATGGTAGCACATGCCTGTAATTCCAGCTACTCGAAAGGATGAGGTGGAAGGATCGTGAAGCCCAGCAGGTCGTGGTTGCAGTGGCCGGGAGCAGTCACTGCACTCCAGTCTGGGCAACAGAGTGAGACTCCAACTCAAAAAAAAAAAGTGCCAGACCAATATAAAAAAAAAACTATAAAACTTTATTGAGGTGGTACTGGCATAAGAATAGACTTATAGATCAATGGAATAGAATTGAGATCCCAGAAATAAATCCATACTTCTATGACCAATTGATTTTTGACAAGTGTGCCAAGATCATTCCATGGGAAAAATGGTCTCCTCAATAAATGTGACATGACAACTAATAGCTACATGCAAATGAATTTGGACCCCTATCTCATACTATATACAAAAATTAACTAATTAGTCCTAACAGGCATATATACAACACTCTACCAAATAACAGCATAACACATGTTCTTCTCAAGTATACATGGCACATTCTCCAAGATAGACTATATATGTTAACCTACAAAACAAGTCTCAATCGATTTTTAAAAATAGATATCACATAAAGATTCTGCTCTCACCAAAACAGGATGAAGTTAGAAATCAATAAAGGAAAACTAGAAAATGTACAAATCTATAGATATCATACAACAAATGAATCAAAAAAGAATTCACAAGGGATATTAGAAAACACTTAAAAACAAATAAAAATGAATACGCAGCATACCAAAATTTGTGGGATGCAGCAAAAACAGTACAAAAAGGAATTAGAAGTACAACAAACTAAACCCCAAACTAGCAGATGAAAGAAAACAATAAAGGTTAAAGTAGAGATAAATAAAATAGAGAATAAAAAACAGTAGAGAAAATCAATGTAAACAAAAGCGGTTCTTTGAAAAGATCAATATAATGGAAAAAACTTTTGCTTAGACTGAAAAAGAAAAAATAGAATAGATATATAAATAAAATCAGAAATGAAAGTGACAGAAATAAAAAAGATCACAACAGA